GTAAAAGTGTCTTTTTACCTGAACTCAAACTAGACCAAACCAAGAAGTAAATTGTATGGTATTTACTAACTACTGGCCAGTCATCTTTTTTTTTTTTTTTTAGGACTCTTGTTTTTTCTTAGATTCTGTATTTTTTTGAGCTCGTGATTCTGATCCTGCAGACCTAGGTTAATGTTTTTCTGATCAGTGAAGTTTAAAAAAAAAAAACATTGCAATAGAGATTTCATCTGCGAAAAGCTACGAGGCCTTTATTATTGTTATGTGTGCACACTCTTGTTATGTGTTGTATGTCGGTATGTCTGTATGTGTGTATGTCCATATATCCTGCAGTGATATAACAATTGACAGATGAGGAGCGCTCATAAAAAAAAAAAATTAAAAATAGATCCAAATATCTTTAATTCACGTGATTCAAACGGTTCAATTTAGATTGGGTAAACAGATAAAAGTAAAGATGTCCTCAAAATTAAGCTTATAAGTTTCTCTAGGTGTTCAAAAAGGCCCTAATAAAATATTAACTCTGCTTAAATTTAAAAGTTTACAAGTATTGTTTCAAAATGTGAACAAAAGGAGGTTTATGTAATTATGGTGTTATTAATGTGTTCATATCTTCCAGGTATACAAGTCTGTAAGGTAGAAGCTTCAAAAGAACATTATATAAAGCTGGTGTTCTAAAGTTGTATGGTAATTTTAGGCTTAAAAAAAAAAACATGTTAGAGATTCAATTATATCATTTGTGTTCTATAACTGAACTTGTTATCAATAAGATATGTACGGTTCCATGTTACTTTCTACTCTGAGATACAATTTATGTATTTTTAAGTTAATGAGAGCCTAATCTGTGTAAAGGTTTTATTGCAAAACACAAAAGTACATTACTACTTTTTTACAAGAGGTTAAAAGCTTTCAGCTTTTAATTCATGTTTTAGGTGTGATATTATGTTGTGTTAGCTAATGTTCATGTAAACTTGAACAACAATTTATGTAAACTTTGTAAAATGATCAGCTTCAGAACTATAGTACTTGAGATTTATAAAGAGCCCTGCCTTACTTGAGATAAGGCTCTGTCCCATCTCACTACATGTGAAAGTGGCTATGAAAAAAGTAAGCCAGATTTCAGTACAGTTAAAGTTGTGTCCAAAAATAGGTTTGTGCCAAGATTACTAGGATCTCAAACAGGAAATTATGATGTATAACCCTGCTAGAATTCAAGGTAGCTATTATATAAGCTAAATATGTTTTTACCCTAGTTAATTTTGTTTTGTAGTTTGCTTATAGATGGTTTAAAGATTGCCTGTTAATGTTTTAAAGAGGTATTGCTTTAAGAACACAACCTGGGTCAACATAAGATAAGGAGTTATCACCTACAGGATAGAGAGATAGACATTAAAGCCCAGTGCTCTTAATATAAGGCTGTTAACTTATTTGCTGGATGTTTAAGATCAAGTTTTTAAAATTAGTTAAATTAAAAGGGCCAAGAAAACCAATATTCGGCTCTTGCCCTCTGAGTCAGTCTGAATCAGGGAATAGGGGACTTCTCCAAAGGGCTCAGCAACTCTAGGCCACATAACCTCCTGAGCAGGGAGATTAATGAGACCAGTGGAGGACAGAAAGCCAATCGGTGCATTTGCTGTAAAGAGGAGGGTCATTAGAAAAGGGAGACATCCCTGATGCTTCTGAGGGAAGCCATATGGTCAAGCAAGGCCTGGACCCATCCTAGCGCAAATGGCACTAGCAGAACTGAAAAGCTGCTATGAAGTTCCCGAGGATTCCCAGGATAACTCAGCTGACTGTAAACAATAGGTAGAAACAAAAGTCAGTTTTGACTTGCTTCATCTTAAACACTTAGCAAAGACAGTCAAAGCCAAAGCACAGCTGTTCCTGGACATCTTAAATGATAATAATAGTTAAATGTAACTTCCATAAATAAGTAGACTGAAGGCTACAAAAAAGATTCTTAGACAGAAATGCCTGATAACTGTCAAAGGGACTGCTAGAGTAGTTTTAGTCTAAGGCCTTTATTTCTAGCCAACGCAGGTCGGCTTGATGTTTGCTAATATGGTTATCCAGCCCTAAGTAACAGAATTAAAGATTTCTCTATTAGACACAGAGGTTATACTAGTAAAAGGATTTTGCAGGATCAGATGGCATTAAATTATTAAACTATATCTTAAAGAAAAAGACATCTGTAACCCTACATGTTAGTTGTTGTGTTGACATCCCTGACATTTCTGACAATGTGACAAATATCTTTAAAGATTTACCTGCTCAGATGGAAGCCATGTCCTCAGCAACTTTTTCGTGGAAACAATATCCTAGCTCCTAGTTCCTGGTACTGCCTGATGGAAAACATTGTTAATCTTTGTCTTGGCCATTATACTCATTGGCATATTCCTGTGCTGTGGCATTTATTACTGCATCAATATGGTTCCAGTACTAATAAGTTCTTGTTTCTCTTATAGACCACCCATCACTCAAATGGCCCTCCAGCCTATTACTTCTCAATTAGACTTTCATCATGGACCACTCGATAGACCCGATATTTTTAAGGGGGACTCCAAACTGCTTGCCCCACGCCGTCCCTTTTCAGCCTGAAGAAGCCAGAAAGATTCTCTTCGTCCCCCTTCCTCACAGCAGTAAGGAGTTCCCAAATTTAAAAAAAAATAAATAAATAAAGCCAGATTTAAAGTTAGGTAGTCAGTGTAGTTAGATAAATCGGGGGTCTAATATCAAGTGACCAAGTCTATCACTGCCTTAGAGAAATCTCTCTCTTCCCTCTCAGAAGTCGTGCTACAAAATAGGAGGAGATTAGATCTGTGATTCCTTAGAAAAGATGGTCTCTATGTGGTTTTAAAGGAACAATGTTGTTTTTATGCTGACCATACGGGGGTGGTCCGGGAAACTATGGAAAAAGTCACTAAAAGGTTGGCAAAAAGGCAAAAAAAAAAAAATTTGAAGCACAACAAGGATGGTTTGAACATTGGTTTAACAAATCCCCATGGTTAACTACTTTGCTATCCACCATAGCGGGACCTTTAGTTATTCTGCTAATAATCCTAACGTTTGGACCCTGCATACTCAATAGATTGGTGCAATTCATGAGAGAGAGACTTTCTATAATCCAAACTATGGTTCTAACTCAACAGTACCAGTTGCTTAAACAACAAACAGGGTCACACACAAGCTTAATCCAAGAACCTGAGCAAGCAGGACAATGGATATAAGATTCTATCCATGATAAAGAAAAAGGGGGGAATGAAAGACCCCAGCCCAATAACTTTAGGCCCAGTAATAAATCACCAGGGCTTGCTTCCACACCTGCACAGACGTCAGATGTATTTTTCAGAAAATCAGTTAAGTGTAACCGATTAAGAAAGGACAGGATGGTTGGGAAAGGAACCAGCACGATTGGGCAAACAGGATCATACAATGAAAAAACCATACAATGAATAACAAATGTTTTTTATGTGGTTTTTCCAGGAACCTATAGTGAAAAACAAGTTTACCCTTTAAGTGACCTATATGCTGGATTCAAAAGAGCCAATGAGATACCTGTTACTGTGCTAGGAGGGAAACTGACCACTGTACCCTATAAAAGATCTGTACCCCAAAGCCCGGTGTGCCAGTTCACCGAAGCTCCGGCTGAGGTTTCGCTGGGCACCCGCAGGCTCCTGTGTATCAATAAATCGCCTCTTGGCTTTTGCAGCCAGTGCCTCGTGCGTCTTTCTTGGACAGGGAATCGGTGGGTCTTTCAGGATAAAGATCAGCAGTCTGGGAAAGGGGTCTGAAAAGTTTTACAAATCAATAGTCTCCCACTCACTTTTTAAAGAAATGGGTGTTTTACACGTGTTTTCTGTAGCCCACCAGATACAACAGGCCGTACTTGATCTCCACTGTAAGCCGCCTCAATAAAAGGATAAATTAACCCACCACCCAAGGCGAAGTCGGAACCGGGACACCGCCCATTTCCCGCCTCCTTCCCCCACAAATCCCTCCCTCCCTGCGAAAGCTCTGAAGCCCCGCCCACTTCCATAACGCAGCACAGGCCGCAGGTCACGCCGGGCCTCAGCCAATGTTCTGCCTCCCAGGAAACGTTACCTCTGACCGCTGGGCTAATCAGAGACAGTGGGACGAACTCCTCGCGAGAGGTGAGGTTGAAGCTGCCTCCGCCATCTTGGAGATGGGAGACGGGCGATGGCTGTGGTCCTTCTGCTAATGCAAACAACAGAACAGTCACAGTAGTCGCCCCAGAGTGAGGTTTTCATCATTGTTAACTATTGACCAAAACTACAGAAGAAGCGAGAGTGTCAAAACCGAGCTCAGCGACACTGTGAGCCCTTTCACTTTTCTTCTGGGTCGGCTTAAGTGAAGTGACTGAGGACCGGAAGGATGGTGCAGTCCTGCTCCGCCTACGGCTGCAAGAACCGATATGATAAGGATAAACCTGTTTCTTTCCACAAGTATGGAACCAGAGCGTCTCGCGGACCGGTCCCAGTTGGGGTTGGGGGCGCGCGGCGGTTGGGCTGGGGGCGGAGCTAGGCGCGTGTCCGCGCGAGACCTGACGAGAGGGGCGGGGCACGGGATTCCGGGCTACGGGCTCCGTAGGGGTCTCCCGGCCCTATCGTGGTGGGCGTGCCTGAGTTGGGGATACTTTAGGAGACCACAGCAGCGCGCTCTAGGGTATATTGCCGAGGCGGCCATTTGCGCTCTCGGAAGGGCTCCTGGCTGCAAAGCTCTCACTTTCCTGGGCCTGGCGAGCTCGATACCGAGAGCGATTTCTGCCGGCCGCTCAGGGGCTCGGGCTTGGTCTTGCAAGAGTCGTGGAGCAGCCAGAATAACTCCCTAAGGCCCAAACTTCAAATAGAAACAAAGACCTTTAAAAACACCAAGAAGTCGCAATATTCCTATCTCCGCTGATTCGGAGGCTTGCATTATAGTAATTAATGATTGAATTTTGGCCAGGATATCAGGAATTTTTTTTTTTTTTACACAATTTCCAGGAATTACCCTTTAAGGGTCTCTAGGTTTTAAAGGAAGCCTCTGGTGCAGCCATGGAGTTGTTATCTTTCAGCACACAGTAATGATAATATAGACAATACTCAGGTGCCGTAATAAAGGTCAATGTGAGCTATTACAGATCTGCTCCACAGCTTTCAGGGCTATTTTATCCTCTAGTTTCCGCAGCTAACCAGCTGTAGTGGAGAATATTTTCTTGAAAATAGGAAAAGAAAATTGCAAGATTGAAATTAACCGGCTGGGGATATAGCTCAGTGCTTGCCTAGCATGCACAAGGCCCTGGGTTCAATCCCCAACATCATTTAAAAGAAAAAAAGATTGAAATTAACGATAATCAAGTAATGCACACAGTGTTTTCAATCAGCCAAATTCAGTGTTTACAAATTTTATTATATTTCCATCATGATTTCTCTGCCAGAATGTCTGACGATATGAAAGTAATAGCTAAGAAGTCAGATCCAATGGTAAATTATACAAGTGTTTCATAACCAAATAGTACGAAAGCAGATTTTAAAATATTCTTTCAAAAATTTTTATGAGGAATTATTTATGTGTGATAGGGGGTTTGGATGCATATTTATATGTTTTATGTAACTTGAACTGCACCACAGGCAAATAAAACTGCATGGAGCATAAAGAGATCTTCGGAGTGTTTACTTTTCCCCATGGAGAAGGGGTTGGCCCATTATGACATTCAGTTCAGTATATCCTAATGTTATGTACATAATTGGTGTTTTTGTAATTTTTGAAAATGATGTCCTTTCAGGGTGTAGGAATAGGTCCGGAGATGACAGGAATATGCATTTGGCTCTCCACCTTCCCATCCCTCATTTCTAATAACAGGTAGAAAAAAATCTAAAAGTATGGAAAATAGTTGAGAATAACATAACACTTATCAGAAATACTGTGTTCCTGTTAGATCTTTAAAAGATTAAGCCTGAGCACTGTAGTGCACATCTATAATCCCAACAACTCTAGAGCCTGAAGCAGGAGAATAGCAAGTTTGAGAGCAACCTGAGCAATTTAGGGAGATCCTGTATTTAATGTAGAACAGTTTGGGGGCAAGTAGATGGGAAAGATCTTCATAGATTCTCACAGCTAAAATTGTAATCCTTGGGCCAGGAGGCCCTGTGTATTGAATTTTACAAGTGATTGCTACCTTAGTTTGTACGTCTGACCATCATTTCCAGCAGGGATTTTCAAAGAGCACCTCTTCTCCCAGCTTCTAAATAGTAGCAGAGAGAGAGCTTGCTGTGCCAAGAAAAGGGACTCTTGGATAGATTTGTTAGATCTTTGTGATTATAGCACAAATTTTAGCATACCTTAGTTGGAAGAGAAACTGAAATAGATTTGAAACATCTTGTTTTGACTTTTTTTCCTAATCCTTCCAAATTCTATCTCCTTTTACTTGGGCCTAATGGACATATCCCAGTTGAGTTAGAGATAAATAAAATAAATAATTTCCTTTTTTTTTTTTTTTTATCATTATCTGCCTATAATTTGATTAGTTCAAATTTAGCCTATCATATTTTTCAGTCAGAGTGATTATACTAGAACTAGAAGTCTCTTTTCCCCTAGGACAGTAGATGTGTATATACCATTTTTGTTTTTATATGCAACACACAGAAATTTATTAGTAAAAAATATATAAGTACAGTTTCATTCTATAGGATATATTTTACTTGAACCTTTTTTGTCTTTAATATAGAAAGTTAAACATTAATCAGTGAGATAAATATGTAAGTGGAGCTAATCTTTAATCAAGTACTCTTTAGTATGTCAAGACCAATGTAAGATAGTTCTTTACTAAGTAAGAAAGTTTGGGTGCCTTTATTTGTTTATTTTTAAAAAGGTTAGAGAACTGAATTATGTCTTCTTAGGTTTCCTCTTACTCGACCCAGTCTTTGTGAAAAATGGGAGGCAGCTGTCAGAAGAAAAAACTTTAAGCCCACCAAGTACAGCAGTATTTGTTCAGAACATTTTACTCCAGACTGCTTTAAGAGGGAGTGCAACAACAAGTTACTGAAAGAGAATGCTGTACCCACAATATTTCTTTGTACTGAGCCACATGACAAGGTAATATGTATTTCAAAATGTTGAGCTGTCTTGTATTTATAAAATTAATGTGTTTAATGTATTCATTGTGGAAAATTTGGAAAACTTATGGAACAGTTAAGAAAACAGATGTAGCTAGAACCTATTGCTTGTAAATAACCACTATTAACAGTGACATACTTTTTAAAAAACACAAAATGGAGTTTATTAAATATCCTCACCCTAAGGAATTCAATCTAACTTTGTGACTTACTTAAAGATCACTCTAGGGGCTGGGGTTGTGGCTTAGTGGTAGAGCATTTGCCTAGCATATGTGAGGCCCTGGGCACCACATATAAATAAAATAAAGGTCCATTTACAACTAAAATAAATATATACATTAAAAAATACATCACTCTATGCCTCTACTTGTATGTTGATAAGTTTGGGGTTATCTTTCTCAGTGACAGTTTAGTTTTAAGTTATTATCTGTTGTCTGCATCCCACTTCAATTTTAAGTAGTAAAAATTGAAGCTCTGTTCTTATTTTGGAATGTTTTTGTACCACTGAGTCACAGAAGTCTAGTATTTCCAAAATTCCACAGTTTAACTCATTTAAGCTATTATTTTTAGTTACTAAATTCACATATGATCTGCATTTTTGTTTTAGAAGGAAGATCTTCTGGAGCCACAAGAACACCTTCCCCCACCTCCTTTAACACCTCCCATTTCCCAGGTCGATGCTGCTATTGGGTTACTGATGCCTCCACTTCAAACCCCTGATAATCTCTCAGTTTTCTGTGACCACAACTATACTGTGGAGGATACAATGCACCAGAGGAAAAGGATTCATCAGCTAGAACAACAAGTTGAAAAGCTCAGGAAGAAGCTCAAGACTGCCCAGCAGCGATGCAGAAGACAAGAACGACAGCTTGAAAAACTAAAGGAGGTTGTACACTTCCAGAAAGAGAAAGATGAAATATCAGAAAGAGGCTATGTGATTCTACCAAATGACTTCTTTGAAATAGTTGAAGTACCAGCATAAAAAAAAAAAAATGAAATGTGTATTGATTTTTAATGGGGCAAGACCACACATCCTCTTTTAGCTTATATAGGAATTTCATTTGGGGAAAAAAAGCACTTGATTACTTGTATAAAAACAATTCAGAATATTTTTTTAAAAAATAAATTAGATATATACTGTAAAATTGTAAATTTTTGTTTGTAATTTCAGAGTTTTTACATTAAAAACAATATTTTAAAAGTTATTTTAAAAAGCCTTAGACTGCCATTGTAAGTTGGTTTCAAGATTGGAGATTTTGTTTGAATATTTATAGAAATAATGTAAAAATGAAAAGCACAGAGAGAGAACAGTGAAGTAAAGATAAGATTTAAGTTTCAATTTTAAAAATTAATGCTTTTTATTGAAAAAACTTAGTTATATTTTAAATCAGGAGTATGGATTAGATTGTAAGGTATAACCTGTCTGTGTATTCAAACATTCACATCCGTAAAATCAGAAGGTTCATTTATCTTTCTGAATCACTTGTCAAGGATAAATTGGCAAATCAATTGAAAAAGATTTGACTGTTTCAGAACAGAAAATAAAGAATCATTCTGTATCTAATCAATAAATATAAAGGTGAGTTTTTTAAAAATGAACCCTTTCATTTTTCCCTAGCATTATAAAATCGAATATATTCTCAGGTAGAGAAACATTTTTTTTTTTCTTGGTACCAGGGATTGGACCCAGGGGTGCTTAACCATCAAGCCACATCTTCAGCTCCCTCCCCCATTTTTTTTTTTTTTTTTTAATTTTGAGACAGAGTCTTACTACATTGCTTAGGGCCCTGCTAAACTGCTGAGCCTGGCTTTGAACTTGCAATCCTCCTGCCTCAGCCTACAGAGCTGCTGGGATTGCATACATGGGCTGCAGTGCCCAATTTTGGAAGAAACATTCTTTAACAACAAAGTAAGGCATTTGTTACCATTGAAGTAAAAATTGGGACCTGACCCTTGATGAAAGGATACCCAATTCCCTAACCGTAATTATATCTTCATCCAAATGTCTTACCAAATATGTTCTGTTGATAGTTTGATTTGTATAATGACATGGTACTCTTGTGTTTAACTAATTGATTTTGGTCCAGACTTCACATAAAAAATTAGTTTTTCACTTGTAACATGTTAGAAATTATATCCCACCTACTTAAATGAATGATTTATATTCAAAAGCAACCTAATACGTAATGTTTATTTTACTAAATGTTGAGATTTACTGCAGTTTCTGTTCAAACTGTGAGTTGTATTCTAATTTTGTGAGAAATTTTACATATATTTGAAATGAAAACATGTTCTGAGTACAAAATATTGCTGTAGAAATTATTTAGATTTAGAATAATTATTCCAACTAAAATTATCACTTTTATACTTAAAGATACACTGAGATAGTTGAAGAGTAACAGACTTTTTTTTTTTTTTAAGACAATAGTAAGAGATAAAACAAGGATGTTAAAAAGTGTTTTTTATAGAACTGATTTTTATTGTTATTCACTGCCATGCTACCTGTAGGTAGCAGTTTGATTCATGGAGATTTGATTCTTTGTGAACCAATATCTCAAAAATAGAAAATAATGTTTAGATTACTTACATAGTCTGATAACAATATTTAGGACTGCAATGAATGAGAGCACGTTCATTGGTTTCTGATGGAACGCAACCGTTTTTTAGAAGCTTCAAAGTCTTCAAATAGTTTGTTTTCATATTTCATCTCTAGCAATTCCTGGAAAACTGGGTAAATATTTTTTCAAAGTGTGTATCTTTAACCTAAATTGTCTTCTACATAAACGACTGTGTGTGTGTATTTGTCCAAAACCAAGAATCTAGGTTAGATTATAAATGTGGTAATCATAATTATTTAGCGTTATTTAATTTGAAGCTGTTGTCTTTATGACAGATGTAAATCCCCATTTGTATCTAACTGAGTAAGCAGCACATGTACCAACAGCTTGCATTTACATGTTTGAAATGTACATGCTTATTTCTGAATTTGAGGTGGAACAATTTAACATCTTGTTGATTTTTCTTTTTCTTTTGTTTTGTTTTGTTCCCCCTCCCCCCCCTTTCTGGGAATGAATTTAAATTTACCATTGCTGATTGCAAATTTGCAGTTCTCCTACCATGGCCTCATAGTAGCTGGGATTACAGGAGTGTGCCATTGTGCCTGATTTGTTGAATGTTTTTAAAATTCATTTTATCTATTGTTTATAACATTTCCAAGAAAAGTAAAACATTTAGGCTAAAATAAGTCCTGTTCAAGTATAGTGGAACTCAGTCTGAAAAAAAGTAGGGAAAAAGTCAGTCTGAAATGGGGAGAAAAGAAATGTGAATTGCAGCGTATTCTGAAAGTTGAAATTTAAGTGCGTATAGTAAAATACTAAAATATCCATTTATGTGTGACAATTTGGAAGAAATAGCAAGAAGCAGTTGTTTCTCAGAACTGCTGGGAGAACTGGAAAATCTCACAGGGCTTTAGAGTCAAAGTAGTGTAGAAATTCTTGAAGACTCATCATCAAACCCTGTATGATTCCCTTTTATAACATCTTTGGTAAGTGGTGATCCTTTCTCTGTTCACTTTTAAGCAAATATTCTGCTTAAATTCTTTAAAATAGGTTTCTAGATAAAAATAGAATCAGTTGCCACTCTAATTAAAGAAGTATTTCTTTATGGAACTATAAACTTTACTTTGACCTCCTACTTAGTTTGAACTGTCACATTCTAAAATTGAAGTCTTGAATTAAAAAAGAATTTAAGTGTATACTGATCTTATACCTGTTGTGTGTTCTTAATAATTTTGCCATTGTGGTAAGAGCATAGCAGCAAACATTGAGTAGGCAAATAACAATGATACAAAATATATCTATAAAAATTATGTATCAATTGTTTTTATGTTATACAACTATCTACGCATATCTTTCTTTTTTTTTTTCTTTTTCTTTTTTTTTGTAGTTGTAGATGGACAATGTGCCTTTATTTTATTTATTTTTATGTGGTGCTAAGGATGGAACTGAGTGCCTCCCAAGTGGGAGGCAAGTGCTCTGCCACTGAGCTATAGCCCCAGCCCTGAGTATATCTTTTAAAACTTCACTCAACATGTTTTTAAATTTTATCTGTTTATTCATGGAAACATAGCTCATTTATTTTCATTGTTGATGTTAATTCATAAATAAGCCTTACTATTAAAAAAAGAAAGAAAGAAGCCAGGCATGATGGCACATGCCTATATTGTGGCAACTTGGGAAGCTGAGGCAAGAGAATGAGAAGATGGCCAGTTTGAGGCCAGCCTCAGTAACTTAAGGCCCTAAGGAACTTAACAAGACCTTGGAGACCTTGTCTCCAATAAAAAATAAACAGGGCTGGGGATGTGGCTCAGTGGTTAAGAAACCCTGGGTTTAATCCTCAATACCTTATTTAAAAAAAAACTATAAGGAGATAAAAATGTGAGGGGAAAAAATGGAAATTCTAGAGTTGTTATTAACCAGAATAAAACATTCATTAGTGGAATCAACACTAGTTTGAACTGATAGAACAAAAATCGGCAAACTTAAAGGTAGAGATTATGCCATCTGAAGAGTAGAGATGAAAAAAAGAGAAATAAACAAAGCCTCAGAAATGTGTAGCATTGTTAAACACACCAACATATGAGTAAGTGGAGTACCAAAAGAAGAAAGGGGCTGGGGGCGGGGAGAGAGGAAGGAGCAGAAGAAAATTTAAGAAATAATCATTCTCAAGTTTGATGAAATACACATACACAAAGCACACAAGAAACTTAATGAATACCAAACAAGATAAATTCAGAGATCCACGCCCAGACATGTAATAAAAATGTTTTAAAAAAATTTTTTTAAAGCAGTAGGAGAAGAGTGATGTTGTATACCTGAGAACCACAACAAGATTAATGTTGTGGCTTATTAGGAAAAAAAAAAAAATTAGACCAGAAAGCAGTCAAATGACAGAATGCTAAAGGAAAAACTTTTTGTCAAATTTATCTGTAGCAAAACTCTCAAAAATGAAAGTAAACCAGATGCACCGATATACTCCTGTAATCCCAGCCACTTGGGAGACTGAAGCAGGAGGATCATAAATTCAAAGTCAGTCTCTGCAATTCAGCAAGACTTATCTCAAAATTAAAAAGGAGAGGCTGAGGTTCAGTGGTAGAGCACTTGCCTAGCCCATGTGAGGCACTCGGTTCGATCCTCAGAAGCACATAAAAAGTAAAAAAAAAAAAAAAAAA